GTAAAACAATTTTAAACCAAAACAAATTGATATATAACCAAGCCCTATTAAAAAGTAAATTTAAACAAACATTAAATTATATAGATAAACTAATTAATAACACATCCACTAAGTCCAAAAATAGAAAAAGGTAGATTATATGGTTCAACCCGCCTTTCTGTAAACTATATAATATCAATATAGGGAAATACTTCCTAAAGCTAATACATAAGCATTTTAGTAAAGATGAGCTATTGAAAAAGATGTTTAATTAAATGAATCTAAAAATTAGTTATTCATGCATGAGCAATGTAGAAAAAATTATATGCTCTCACAACAGCAAAATTATTAGGGAATTTCACAATAACCAATTACAAAGGGATCTTAATGCAAATTAATTGAAAAAAGAAACATCTACCTGTAATTGCAGAGCAGGATCTGATTGTTCAGTAGGAGGAATATGTATAGCAGAAAACGTGATATACGAAGCTACAATTTCCACCAAGGAAAATATAAAATAAAAAAGATATATATAGGAATATCTGCGAGAAATTGGAAACAGCGTTTTTACAACCATCGCCAGTCCGTCACAAATGAATCTAAAAGACACCAAACAGCACTATCGAGACACTATTGAGATTTATTGGAGAACGGCTTCACCCCACAAGTGAAATGGAGAATCGTCTCTAGAGCTCGAACTCCAATGAATTTCAGAGACCGCAGTGACCTATGTATAAAAGAGAACATCCTAATGATAAAGCATAAAAAACCTGATAAATTACTTAACCAGCATAACGAAATGATTTTCAAATGCAGACATGGAAAACAACACAATTTAACTCACATTTAAAAAAATATATATATACGATGGTAAATATTGGCTTATTTTTAGATTTGAAGGTGATTGTATGCACACATGTGTGCGGACACTTAATTGTATGTATACACATGTGTATACGGACTTGGATATGGATATGTGGATTTATGTGTATAAAACATATACATGTGTATATGCGCACATGTACATCTCTCTCTCTCTCTCTCTCTCTCTATATATATATATATATATATATATATATATATATATATATATATTGTGGGCACGTGTCTAAATATGTAATTTTAAGTAGGTATATGTGTATGTGTATCAATTCATGTATGTGGAGTTGCATATATGTTTGTAAATGTATATGTATATATATGTAAGTATTTATGAATTCATATATGTGATATATGTGAATATGTAGGATATAGTTGTATGCATATATATGCATATATAGGTATAAATGGGTGTATGCTTTCTATATATAGAGAGAAAGAGTTTTAATTGAAGGACAGAAAAAATTTTATTACCGTTTAATCTTACTTTCTCTTTAAATAATTTCTAATTAGAATTGTAAGATTGAAAATTTTAATTATCTGGAGATAATCCCAATTTAAATTAATCATTTAGATTTAAATTAAAATATGTTACTTCTTAACTATTAGTCATGATTTTAAAAATATTAAAATTAAATGTATTTTTTGAAATTTAAACATTTAATTTACCACCTAACGTTAATTGTAAAATTTAAGGAAAAAATTTAAATAGGTATAAATATGAATGTGTGTGGAGATATGTAATTGTATGTGTAAGTATTTGTATATGTATATGCATATATACCTGTGTATATCGATACATGTGTATGTGGTTATACGTGTAATTACACATGTACATGAATGTATGTATATGTGATTTTTACGTAAATATATATGTGGTATATGTATGAATAAACAATTTTTTTTACTATTAAAATCTTACTCCATCTTGATTTGAAACCTAATCTTTAATTAAGAAATATTACCCATCTAAAAATAGCTACAAATTAAATTCATGAATTAGACTCAAACTGATAAAGATTTTACCTTAACAGTCATTCACAATATTAAAATATTACCATTAGTAAACTTTTATTTTTTTTATTATTGTTGTTGATTAATATAGTATTCAACTCATATTAAATCCCTAATTTATTTGTAGAGAAGTCGAATATTTAAATTGCTAACAAGCATTAAATTAATTTCTTTGTGTAGTTTTTTAAAACATTTTAATTACCATCAAACGTTAAAATTTGTTTTTATCTAAATTGTTAAAGCTGTACCACCCGCGTCTTCCTCCGAAAACACTAAGTACATCTCTTTTCTCTTTACTTTTTCCTTTTTCATTTCCTTTTGACTTTCCCCATATCATTTCCGTTGAGTTGACCGATTAAAAATAAATTAAATGTCTGATCCTTACCTCTCCATGTCCTCAATGTATTATAATAAAATAAATATAAAAATAAATTTTAAAACTCTCCTTCCCTCTTCTAAATTCGATCATTTTGTTGTCACAGACCATCCGTCTCACCGACCTTCTTCTTTGATTTCTACAACCTACCCACGAAATCAATATGGGCCGTAGTGCATAAAGGTGATACCGCACACCGTAAAATAATAACATATATATAAATATATATAAAAGTATATATATATATATATATATATATATATAAACCGCTTCTATGGATACGTGACACTTTGCGTTTTTTTTAGGCGAGTCTTAATATCTTAACTTGTTTTTCAAAACTGTTTTTGGTATCTTCAGGCGTTATTCGTAAAACTTGTTTTGGTGGTGTGACTAAGTCGAGGCCCCGAACTGCTCAACTTTGTCCAACTATCTGACTGCCCCAACTGTGTTTGTCCAACTATCTGACTGCCCAACTGTATCTGCGTGACTTTGCTCTGGGGACGTTCGTTTATATGGACGCCGACCAAAACCGGGTGGGGGCCTGTCGTGGTTTGGGTTCCTCGATAATTCCAAATCCGCAATAAGAATTTTCTTCGTTTTCGGACAGGAAAATTTATCACTTCCCATTTTTGGAAGTCAATTACTTTATGTTTTAGAGGGGTTCTTAAGGGAATTGTCCTCCCAAATTCTTCCTTTCTCATATTGGTATCTCACACCAATCCCCTCAGAGGCGCCAACAGGTTTCCCTTCTTTCTCATATGTTTACCTTCGCCCATCGCTCACACCACCATTCAGCCAATCGGCAGTGTGGGTGTGGCTAGACTGGCCTGTTTACAATTATCGCTCAAAGAAAAAAAATTATCTTCCTTTTTCTTTTCTTTCTTTTCCACCGACTAGAACCCCCACGAATCGTACTGTGGACATAAAATCTCTATCTTAACTTGATGTCATCTGGAATTCATTAACGGGATTTTCGCCAAGTTATTATCTGAGTGGTCAACTGAATCTCTTTGTCTTCCTCAACGTCATCGCATTCTGTCACCAACAGTCTGTCCAGGTAACAAACTTTTATCATGGCAAGTTCTGGAGATAAAACAGGTGGCTCGCTTCCAAAACCAAATAATATCTCCAAAATATAGTTAATGGCTTATTCTTTTCCTTTTTCTCTTCTTCCTTCCTTTTTCTTTGGGGTGGTCTCAGCTAATTCTTTCTCGGTCGCATGCTTGACCCAATTTCCGATTATCTTCTAGAATTCCACTTTGTAAGCCTCTTGACCAATTTGAAATTTAATTATTGCCATGAGCAGATTGCTATCTTTTATTCGTACTCTGCCGTTCCTCGCCGCGTCATGGCATAAATTAATTCTGACAGATCAGAGATCTTACGAATTTTCCATCTTCAGTGAAAAAAAATATTTTCCTTCGCAAATGAAAATAAAATCTTTACCCACTTTTCTTTTGTTAAAAAAAATAACATCGCCCTGTATGTTTTTCGTGATAGCTTCTTCTCGCCTTAAATATTTCTCGCTTTTAATTTCCACGCTTAATTAGTTAGCAAATTAGCATAGCTAAATAGTGTCACACTATGTCAACTTATATAAGCTTAATACTGACCGTCAAAAGTGTAAATTTTAATTTCATTTTTCGTTTCACCTTTTGAAAGAGATGTCTGAAGATCCAGTGAAAAATAAAAGTCTCTGTTGAAATAATTTATTACAAATGGAGCCTTAAAGTGTTCTGTTTTTCTTTAAATTAAATTCGCTCTGAATTAACATTGAGCTCTTAGGATTTCATCCTCGTTGGGATTATCCATACGGATTACTAAGATTTTCGTTTCTTGAATATATATATATATATATATATATATATATATATACTAGCATTAAAGCCCTGCGTTTGTCGGGGTTTTATGTAGTTAAATTGCTTTGGGGTTTGAAATATTGAATCCGCAGTTGTTGAGGTCATTGATAGACCGGGAATCCCACTGGTAGCAAAATCAAGGCCAACCGGTTGCCATAGGTCGCTGCTGTGTTGCTGCTCCGTGCTTACCCGAAGACTACTCTCCGTTCATAATCGGTTAAGATTTTTAATTCTGGCAATGTAAAATAGTGGTTGCGTTTTCACTGTAGGATTCGCTTCTTCACTATTAAGTCCATAAGTTTTACACAATCGGAAATGTCATGTCTGTGAGTGTAATCCTGTCCGGGTAGGAGTTCACGCGTTATCTCAACCCATTTGGGGTTTCAGGTAAACGCCCATATTGCCTAACGTATGTCATAGCGTCCTGCGTGCGTTCATGCATGTAAAGCTGCCCCCCAGTGTAGGTAGAGGGCAGAATGCACAGCTTCCCTAGGTCGCGGGGGTAAACTTCATTTCGAAGGCTGTCGCGTAAGTGTACGTAGGAGTCTGAGCGCAGCTGTTTCTGATGATTCCGTATAAAACAAAGCCTCTCCGATTCCATCTTAGCGGTCATGTCAATTGCAAACTGGTGGAAAAGATCCCTGCATCTATGAAGCAGGTTGAAGTCTTCATCCCTAACCATGAAACGTTATGAGTAGAAGGCCTTTCACGATAAGGCTTTGGAAGACGTTGTAGGTCGGTCACCCGGAGTATGAAGGGGAATGCCGAAGTAGTAGCCATCGTCACCATAAGGGAAATGTAAAGTGTACTGCAATGCGTCATGATCGATGGGTCTATGAAAACCTGCGAAGAGCGCCGCCTCTTGATCTGAGGACAATATCGCGAGTGCGGTCTTACTCCCCATGTATAATACTGGCCACTTCGTTGCACGGAGGAGAATTGTAGCGGCGTTCGTGTTCATCATGAAGCCGTTTTTCGGCGTCAATTACAATGCTGAAAGAAGGAATGGGAACATTTTCCAAAGCATATTTGAAACTGCGAATGTAGCTGTTAACCTCGTGAAGCATGGCCTGAAGTAGTAGAATGATTTCCCTACGAGGAACTCTTCCCGACGGCGGCAAAATACCAATCCGGGTTTCGGCCTGTAGATTGTAGTCTGCAATAAAGTACAATTGAAGAAATTTAGGCGTAGAGGTACCCTCAGGCAGCAGAGACCCAATACTGTGTTATACTTGCCCCTGTACTTTGAAAGTAGGCATCCAACTCTATTCTTGAACCACCTGAGCCCCAAATGAGATCATTTAAAAGGAGTTGTTTCATTGCCTAATTGTTTTAAGGAAGTGGTTGGAGTCGGGATGGGAGCCAGATATTAGTCCCCTCAACGGGGTAAGTGGTTCATGCAGATGTGGCAGTCGCATTTTGCCGGAGGAGCAGCACAGACCGGCAGGCTCCCCGGCCCACTTGCGGGCGTTGCAGAATTGGCAAAGGCAGGTCATGGACTCTACATTGAGATCGTCACGCGTAGTTAAGTTAATGCCGGGGTCGTAATTGAAAGCCAAGAAAAGAGCTACGGGGACAGGTAACACCACGGGCACCCGAAAGGTGCTGAATGTCGCCGTCGAGGCATATGCGGAGAGCCTGGGGAGTTTGAGATAAGCGCACAGCGGCCATGTTTATAGCAGCCCTTGTAAGTCTGTCTGCCCTTGTCTGTGGGCCCTCGGAGTTTCTGGCAGCAGAAGTCGCTGCAGAGTTGCGGGCATTGCGGGTTGCCCGCTGCAGCTCTGTCTCGGACTCCCTCGACCTAGCTGTTGCACCAGCGTCCCTGAATTGACGAGCGCGTCTGCGGTAGAATGTTTCAGCTGCCTTCGACCTGGCAGTGGTGGCAGCATTCCTAGCATTTCGCACAGACCTTCGTAGCTTTGTCTCAGCAGTCCTAGCGGTCGCTGTTGCAGCAGCGTCCCTGGATTTACTGGCGCGCCGGAGGAAAGTGTCTCTATTGCCCTTGATTTCGCAGTGGCAACAGCATTTCTTACGTTACGAAGAAGCCTTTGATGATGAGTATCGGAAACCCGAGATGCAGATGCGGTTGCTGCAGTCTGTGCGTTCATTCTCTACCGTTGTGCAATCTTGAGCCTTGATCGCAACGAAGGCAGCTTTCCCAGCCAAGCAGGTGACACGCTCTTGTGACTGCGAAGCCTGCGTGAGGGCGCTGAGTTGAGCGACCTGTGATAGTCGCATTGTAGTCTGCTCCTGGGACTCGCGGGCCCTTCTTGCCCTCATAGCGGACGCTCTCGCAGAACGAAGGCTAAGATGTACCCTCCTTTTTGGCGGCATGGGGAAAAATGATGCTAGTAGTGGTTGATTAGTGTTGCTCAATTGCAGGGGTACAAAGTAACTTAGTATCGCAAAGCGTGAACTAGAATCGGGAAGGCAGGTATTTAAGTAAAACAGCTGAATAAATTGTTTATGGTAGTTGGAAAAATGGAGTTAAACAGACAAATGGAAAACAAAAAAAGTAAGAAATAACTTGCGGTAGGAGAAATGATCAGTTGAAGGGGACTATCGTATCAACCGGATTGCGGCGTAACAGGAGCAGAAGTGAGACCTTCGTCCCACAGCCGATGAATTTAATCAAAATCCCAAGCAAGTTGCGAAAAACATCGCCAAATGCAGGTAAACTCAATTTGAATGGAAAGTCAAAAGGGGTATGATTTCATCGATTTTTATCCGAAAATTGAAACCGATACTGAAAATGAAAGTCAGCACCTCAATACTGTCGGTAAATACTATGCCCAACGGAATTTTGCTGAAAATTCTTCGCCATTTGCAAAAAATATAGCCAAAAATCAGCTAGACTGGACTTGAATCGGATGTATCGATTTTTTCCAGTAATTGATATAGATATAGAAAATGAATGTCAGCACCTCATAACTGTTGATAAAAACAATGCTTAACGTAATTTTGGTGGAAATTCTTCGCCATTTGCGAAAAACATAGCCAAAAATCAGCTTGACCGGATTTGAATTGGAAGTCAGAAGTGGCATGATATTATCGATTTTTTCCGATAATTTATACCGATATTGAAGAAGAAGGTCAGCAACTAATAACTGTTGATAAAACTAATGCTCAACATGATTTTCGTGAAACTTCCTTGCAGACTGCGAAAAACAAGCCAAAAATCAGCTACATTGTATTTGAATCGGATGTCCCAAAGTGATCGATTTTATCTATTTTTTCCGATATCTTATATCAATTTTTAAAAACAAAGAACAGCACCTCAAAACTACAAGTAACGACATTGCTCAACGTGAGTTTGGTGGATATCGCTTGTAATTTGTGAAAACTATCACTGAAAAACTGATGAATTATTTTCGAATCAATTTTCAACTCCCTATCGCTTTTATCGATTTTTTTCCAAAATCGGAGGAACAATCGAAAAATCCGAAGACGTCAAGTACGGATGCCGTAAATTTCCGATCTGTGTGTGAATTTACATGCCAATCGGACGAACGGTTTGCTCAGGATGACATAACAAGTTGACAGACACACAGACACACTAACAGAATGCTATATATATATATATATATATATATATACATGAATTATTCACACAAAACTAATGTAAAGGTTAATGATTTAAATGGCGAGACATCCATCATCGCAAACAATTCAAATAGTATACAAAAACCTCCAGATCCGTTATGAATGAATTGATCCTTGTTTATATAAATTTCTGCCGTATTAGTTGTTATTTTTACTACAAGCTTTCGTCTGTTCCTACGAACATCTTCAGGTATAGAATAGAGATGTTGTTCTTTTTTTCTTTAGTAATAAGAGGACAACGAAAATATATGTGTTGTTGTATCCGAAAATGCTATTGAAAAAGAGTTATTGGTTTTGGAACGCGCCAAAGCAACGCTGAGTTTGATTTTAAATTTTAAAGTGTTTGCGTTTATACCAAATATGGTGATGAACAAATTTTTTTACTGTTAAATTTTTCTGTCAAAGTGGCATGAACTATATTGTTCAATAATTACAGTAATGTCGCACTTATTATCTAAAAGTCGCACTTGGATCAGTTATTTAAATTACAATAAACGTGCAATCAATTTACAAATACATGAATTATTCACACAAAACTAATGCAAAGGTTAATGATTTAAATGGCGAGACATCCATCATCGCAAACAGTTCAAATAGTATACAAAAATTTAAAATCAAACTCAGCGTTGCTTTGGCGCGTTCCAAAACCAATAACTCTTTTTCAATAGCATTTTCAATTACAACAACACATATATTTTCGTTGTCCTCTTATTACTAAGAGAAAATCAAGAACAACATCTCTATTCTATACCTGAAAGATGTCTGTAGGAACAGACGAAAGCTTGTAGTAAAAAATAACAACTAATACGGCAGAAATTTATATAAACAAGGATCAATTCATTCATAACGGATCTGGAGGTTTTTGTATACTATTTGAATTGTTTGCGATGATGGATGTCTCGCCATTTAAATCATTAACCTTTGCATTAGTTTTGTGTGAATAATTCATGTATTTGTAAATTGATTGCACGTTTATTGTATATATATATATATATATATATATATATATATATATATATATATATATATATATATAACGTTTGAAATCATTTCGTATATATATATATATATATATATATATATATATATATATATATATATATATATGCCGAAATGATTGCAAACTTGTACACACGTTTTTGTGTGCGTTGCGGGCGCCATACAGATCATTTTAGATCCTAATGCAATCCAAAATATTTTCTGGATGCTACATGGCTGAATGGCGACATTTCAGTCACTACATAATATCCAGGAGCACCATATTTACCAAGTCAAATAGTGACTTTGCTAGGTCATCAAGTTAGAGATGGCCCAGGCGTTTCTTATTTGAATTTTCTTTCCCTCTTTGCAGAACATTTCTACATATGTATTGTAGCATCATATTAATAAGGTAAGAACTTCTGGGCTAGCCAATGAACATTGTTGAAACATTCTAATATTCTTTAATGTACACTGTTTGCATGCATATTCATTTTCTACATTGTAGTTTCACAAATTGTGTGCCCACCTTTCTATTTCATTACATCACATCAAGCAAAATAAGTGGTAGAGGCGAGAACCTGTCTAGAAAGGGGTACCTGTAGGAATGCAAATGGCGATTACCGCACTTTAGGTAAGAGGAATATACGAGTGTCACCTGATGATCGGTGAGTGACATTATTTCATAGAGTGACAAACCACAGTTGCTATTTAGCACGCCTAGAAACAAGACGTATCTGCTCACGCCAGTTGCTATGTAGACAGCAGAGAAGACATGACAGTTAAGAGCAGAGGAAGCCACATCTCACCAGATACATAAATGACTCCACCGCCCTGCCATCTTTCTCTTTTGGAAATATTACAAGGAAGAACCTCTCGCTTTTCGCACCTTTCACACTGCTTCTTGTATGCATATGCTATAATTTCTCTATGAGAGACAAATTTATCATAAGTATGTATATATCGATATACAAAATCTCTTTGAGAACAATGCATGTTTGTCATTCCTTTCTTTCAGAGATTCTGTTCCGTCTGTTGTATTAATGTGTTGGCATATACTAATGCCTATAATGGGGAAATGAAAACTGAAAATATTCTTTCTTTTCTAGCAACCCATTAGCAACAACAACAGCAGTGGAGCAGTATCAGCAGCATCGGCAATAACAGCAACGACAACAAAATAATAATAATAATAATAAAGATTAAATAAATACAGTGAAAGAGGATGAAAGAATGAAAGCGTTAATCAGAATATACAATGAAGTAAACTAAAAACAATTACAAAGAAGAAAGGATTAAAATAAAAAAATAAAATTCATAAAAAGATACGAAGAATGTAAAAATAAAACAGAAGCAAATAAGGACAAAAAGCATGCAAGGAACAAAGAAATAAAAAGAGGGAGAATAATGAAAGTAAACAAAAGAAAAAAGCAAAACATGTAGACATAAAGAATAAGGAGAAACAAAGATGAAGAAATGAAAAATATTAAATTTTCATATAAAAGGGAGAAACAGAAAGAAAGAATTAATAAAAAAGTTTTAAGAAATGTTTTACCATAATAAAGTATAAATTGAAGAAGGCAAGTTTTGAACGCAATAAGCACTAAATGTATGTGCTCATTTTTAGAGAATTAATAGTTAGGTACCTCTACGAAATCGCTAAAAAAAGAACGTAGCTTGATGGAAAAGACGCCAACCTTGCCGAAAACAAAATTCTATCCTCTAAATGTTTATGTTATTATTAAGAGGAAAGACCAAAGTTTTTTTTTTAATTATTTTTTAAAATTTTTCCTTCTTTTTAGAACATTCTAAATTTTGATTAAAAAAACCTTGTTTCTCTTTGTATCACCGGAACTAGTAAAATAACATAGACAATTTTTAGCACGTTTTTTTTTTGGAAAATCTTGCAAAAAATTAATATAACTGTCGGATGTTAATGAAACTTTCAGAAACTATTCACAGATGATCGAAATTATTATAAATATGTTGTTTTTTTTTATAAAATTCATGGCAGAAATATTTTTTTAACTAATTTTATGAAAACGCTAAAAATTCGATCGCATCGGGTTTAGTGATTACAATAGTTAAAAGCACAAGGCTTTGAGGAATGCAAATCGTGTTTTTTTTGTTTTTAATTGGACCCCCCTACCTGAAAATCAGCTCTGAATTGTAACATACAAAACTCAATAAAACAAAGATATTATTTCATTTCAAATGCTTTTATCTGCTTTTAGTTGTTTTTATGAATATGGACAATATTTTCTGAAAGCAAAACATCTTTTCGATGAAAAATGAATTTTTAATACAATTATTTGTTATTTCTTTAATTATAATAGATTTTTACATTTAAGTTGTTAAAATATTATAAAATTAGTTAAAAGCCGCATCGGGTTTCCTAAGTCTCCTTATGAGATAGATCTTTTTTTAGCGCGTTGTAAATTGTATCATTTTGACAAATCAGAAGATCCGCAGTAATTAAGAAATCTAATTTTGTGTTTATAATCGGGCTGTAATTATAAAGTACGGAAGACCAACCAGAATACAATTAAGTTGCGTTATTTGAGTTAAGCATTGTTCTCCGCTGTTAAGGCCTTTACTTTTGCGAAACACGTGTGGAGAAGTTAATTTGATTTTTCAATTTCAACTGAGAAGGGTACCTACAAGTATCAGTATCATCTTATGAAATTTATATGATCTTA